GGAAAAACCACCCCTATGTGTCTATGATGAAATGCATCCCTAAAGAGCACCATCTTCAGCAGCCTCTTGAACGTAAGCAAGGGGGGAGCGGTTTCCAGAGAGAGCTCAACCAAGAGTTGGTTCCAGAGGGTGGGTGCCACAGCTAAGAAGGCCCAACTTGTTTATGTCTTCCTGGCCTTTTTTTTGTGTGGACACCCAGAGAATCATTGCCTGGGTAACCTGGTGACACAAGTAGATGTTCCTGAGGAAAAGTGTTCCGCCATCATTGCAAAAATGCTGTTATTTATTTATTCATAAGGACCAGCAATGTACACGGGTCCTTTACACTGGCCCCTGCTCCTCATTTTATCTCCCATATAAATCAGTAAAGAAGACTGAAGCAGGTCCGAGAACAAGCCTGTGATATTGTCTCAGGACTCTGAAAACATGTTAGGAATCATGCATCTCTTGCTATTACTGCTTGTGGCTATAGTCATATCTTGTGGCAGAGAGTTCCATATTAATGGTAAATTATGACAACGCATTCAGAAGCTAGGGTAGCCATGCCTAAACATCATGTGCCATCAGTAAGTTCTGATTCATGGTGACCCTTTTCAGGGTTTTCTAGGTAGAGAGTACATAGAAGTGGTTTATCATTTCCTTGCTTCCGGAGGTGCCCTGGGACCGTGCAGCTTGCTCAAGACCACACGAGGCTGGCTTTTTTCCCAGGAGGCATAGTGGGGAATTGAACTCCCGAACTCTGGCTCTACAGCCAGAGACCTGAACCACTGAGCTATCCACCAAGCTTAGTATAACTTTAAGCGGACATAATCTTGCACAAAGGTGTGCACACCAGCAGTTATCCTTTGCATTCACATGAAATCTTGACTTCAAGAAATGACACTATGGAAAAGCAAGAGTGAAATTAGTTTTCGCTCTTTGACACCTTGGACTAGGCCTAGAGATTATTATTGCCACACACTGAGCCACGTTTCTGAAGGAAGGAATGAGAAATTGTTACAGAACAGAATATGTCCATTTGCTGATGGGTCCTGGACAATATTGTATAGATCAATTTTTTAAAAACACACACACAGCCCTTTCTGCCTTGTGGTTACATTTCCCACGTGAGTGTGAGTGTGTAGATCAAGAATCTATCACTATCTACTACCATTCCTGCCCCTTATCTCTTTTCTGGGTCATGTTTGGGGACTGTAGATCAGGAATCTGTCACTATCTACTACCATTCCTGCCCCATCTCTTTTCTGGGTCATGTTTGGGGACTGTGGCACTTAGCGCTTCTTGGGTGCACAGGTGGCTCACGGGCTTTTCTAGGAGTGATCTACGTGAACTGACAGCAAGGCCCAACAGGTTTTTGCAATATCTACACTGCAAGTATGTATTAGTCATTCTGATCCAAGAAAAGCTATCTTCCTCCCCACTGCCCCACAGGAACTTGTCCACCATTACTGGCCTTCTTGCTGAACAACCTCCCTCCCTTCAAAAGTTCCCAAGGCAAAGGTACCATCCAATAGAAAGATGGAGTTTCTGTTAACTTTAATCAATTGTGCCTGATTAATTACAGGACTGTCCAGGGAGTGTTTGCTCCTTTACGCCCCATTGCAAATTTTCTGGGACTTCTTTCCATCGGCAACAGCTATGGCGGATGCTGTAATTACGTAGAGGTCCCACTTTTGATTATTTCACCATTATTTGACACTGAATGACAGCAAACATATCTTTCGGTGCTCTTCCTTGTGTGAGTCTCGTTTCCTTTTTAAAAAATGCTCATGCAAACAAACTCATGAAACAATAGCACCAAGCAGGCGTGCCAAGGCTCTTAAAGACTGTAAACGTCAAAATCATCCAACCAGATTTTGCTCCCAGATAAAGCCTCCTTTTGCACCGGAGCGCAGCAAACATCCTTGTACTTGCTGTACTTGAAGTGAAAACTGCGGGGCTCAGTGTTCGGTGGCATCCATGCCCCAATGTTTTCTTTGCCTGGACTCCATATTGCCCTGTTGGCTTCCATCGCCACCTTCCCAGCACTTACGTGCACACAAGGAATGGAGAGGCTGCTGCGCTTAGCTATGGACGATCCTTTTACACAGCAGGAGAGGCAAAGCTTGGCAAGAGAGGTTGAAAAAAAATTCTGCGCCTTTGATCTTTTATCAAAGGAAATATTACTCTCCCTCTTGCAAGACCAGAGACTGTCAAAGGTCAGGGGCGTGGACGGTTTAGTTGTCCGTGTAAGCTGTTGCCATGGTGTCCAAACCAACACACAGAAACATTGCTTTTGATAACAAGACTGGCCTGGGACATTCCAAGGCAAATTCCTGTCTCTACCTGAGAAATGTGTTTTCTCTAATTAGATACCACCAAAAGCAAAAGCAAAGTCTGCTGCTTTATATACCACCCCATAACACTTAAAGCACTCTCTGGGCAGTTTACAATTTTAATTATGCAGGCTACACATTGCCTCTCCCCACCCCCAACAAGCTGAGCACTCAGTTTATGGACCTCAGAAGAATGGAAGGTTGAATCAACCCCATGCTAGTTACAGAAGCCCAGGATCAAACTCAGATCATGAGCAGAGTCTTGACTGTCGTACTGCAGTTTAACCACTGCACCACAAGGCTCCACCATTGATTCATGCTAGAAACCTATGGCCACCAAATGCTGTCCACAGGAAGCAGGCTTGTACAGCCTGTGAGTCAATGTGCCAAGGATATAACCCATCACCTTTGTATTGTGTTTCTATGATGTTTCAATCAGTGGTGCTGCCATGGCAGGATTTTAGGACACAAATCTAGGGTATCACTTAGGAAAAGGCATAGGACATACTCCCAGATATGGCGAGGCCAGTTAACCACATTTTGAACTAACATATGTACATATAGATAGTGATGGGTGCATATAAGACACACATCACCATCTCTATGTATGTACATACAGATGTACATACGTACATACAAAGTCTAGAATATAGATAGTGATGTCCGCATATAAGACACACATCACCATCTATATGTATGTATGTACATATAGATGTACATACGTACATACAAAGTCTAGAGTTTGTATCAGATATCACATAACTATTCAGGAAGCAAGCAAGTGAACAAAAACAGACGGCTGACCTGTGCTTTGTAGGTATCGTGACCTGGAGAAAACAGCAGGTGAAGTTACACGTCACATCAGCCTAAACTCCATTGGGAATAACCAGATGAAAAAGAGGATAGGGTCTGTGCCTATTCAGGAAGCAAGCAAGTGAACAAAAACAGACGGCTGACCTGTGCTTTGTAGGTATCTTGACCTGGAGAAAACAGCAGGTGAAATTACACTTCACATCAGCCTAAACTCCATTGGGAATGACCAGATGAAAAAGAGGATAGGGTCTGTGCCCTTAATAGTTGCTTAAAAGCAGAAATTACGGGAGTCCTAGCTTCTAATGCAAGCTACACCTGTGCAGGTTTCTTCCTCCACAGAACTCTTAAAGCCAAAGTGACCCTGCTGTCCTTTTCTTTCGGCCACCTTTCTTTTAAAACCGATTCTATAAATCCCACTGACTTGACTGGCTTTGCTCCAGTTGGGCCCAGTAGTTGCCTCCAGACCTCTGGATGTAACAGAAAACAGAATGTGGTCTGTCATTCCTTTTCCCCCTTACTGAAAGCACAAATGTCTAAAATGGAGTGTGTTGGTATTCTTACTTACCTTAGGGATACACTGGTTAAGACTGAAGTCCCAGAATCAATGCCTCCTGCATACTGAAACTCCAGACGCTGGGGGGGGGGGGGGGGGGGGGGAGAAGGATTTTTGGCCTCAGATGTTGTAGAATAGCTTGTCTGCTGCTTTTGTTGATTGTAGGTGAGATACAAAGAGTGCCATTGTTTCAGTGGCTGGCAGGGCTGCCCTGCAGAGAGAGACAGCATTGCTCCAGGTCCAGGTTTCGCTCACTCGCTGGAGGCCAGCCATGTGAAATCGCTCAGCTTTGTTTATGGAAAGTATATAATGAAATAAAAGACATACTGTCATTTGTTATCCACATAGAAGGAAGAACTCACGTCCACATTGTTAACTGGGAGATTTCAAAAAAAAAAGAGAGTGGAGATTGGCAAAATGGTCTGTAAAAATGCATCGCTAAGGAGACATGCACACCAAAACGCATACAAAAGTCAATGTAAACTTTGGGGGGAAAGCCCAATAATATGAAGCATGAACGGGATGGAGCAATGTGACGGCTGAAAATGAGATTAAGAGACCTCACATGTTCATCTGTTTAAACTTTAGTGGTGATCATGCAGCTGAACCCAGCTTCCTTGGCATAGGTGACCTTCTCCCAAGATTTCTTACAGAGGGAATGCTAATGTTGCTTCCAGCAGCCAGATTCTATATCTTTTTCTGTGTAATTTGCCCATGGTTCTCATGGATAGCCCGTCATTAGTACAATGGGTGCACTTCACCCTGAGATCTTATGGTAAGACACCCACCCCCAGGCTCGATCCACAAGCAGCCCTATTGTTCCCCTGGCAAATGTGCAAAGCAGGGAGAACCTGTTCTGAATTCCAGCATGATAGATTATTCCTCCATAAAAAGGAACAGCAGAGAAACTTTAGAAGTGGCACATCATTTCAGGTTCTCTTCACCAAGTCTCAATTTATTGATCTGCTGCTAGTCTGTTCAGCCCCTCCATGTACAGTACATAGCCTTTAACTTTTTGGATGCTTCCTGTGAGAGGTGGAAGGTGGGTGGCCGCCACCTTTTCCTGATCCCTGGGGAATCAAAAGAAGGAACGTCTTCAGGGTCTTAGAGGTATTCTGAGCCTCTGGATGCAAAGCAACAAAGCCTAGAGCAAAGTGCAGGGAGTGGAGCTGATAGCATTTCCGTGTATCTGCTTTGCTTCTCTGCTGGGAGCTCAGCAGGTTGAAGGCAAGTGGGAAGCCTGCCAGAACACACCCAGCCCTTCCAGGCAGTAAAATGATCCTTTCTCTCTGCCCCCCAAGCGCTTTCTAACGGATAAAAGGGGAGGAAGTGCCAGCTCGCACATTCAGAGGGACTCTCACTCTCCTTCACTCTCCTGAGCCTCCTCTGCTCTTTGCTTCCTCTTGACCGACACTTGCTGAATACAAAGCCCTGCTCGAATAGCCATGTCACAGTTCAATTACAGCTCTCGTTCGGCATCCGGCCCTAGTGGGATCACTCAGGTCCGGGTCAGCTCTGTCTCATCCTCTCGTGGAGTAGGAGGGGGAAGCAGCTTTCGGAAACCCGGGGGCTTTGGCAGTGCCAGTCTCTACAGCCTGGGCTCTGGCGCCAATAGGATTTCTTTCCACAATGCCCCGGCTACATTCAGATACGCCAGCAACCTTGGAGCTGGGTTTGGTGGTGGACTTCCATCGCCAGGCATTCAAGAGGTCACCATCAACCAGAGCCTTTTGTCCCCCCTCCACCTGGAAATTGACCCCACTATCCAGAAGGTGCGCAAGGAAGAGAAGGAGCAGATCAAGACCCTCAACAACAAATTTGCAAGCTTCATTGACAAGGTGAGATGTGGGACTTTCATTAGCTTTGCATAGAGCCAACTGGAGGTTCTGAGTGGCTTGCCACCTTGAAGCTTGGGGACTACATTCTCAGAAAGAGTCAGCAGCCTCTACAAACCCTCCTCGTAATGTTTTGTCTGAGATAGTGTCCTGCGTGCAGATTCACAAACCTTTATCTTAAGACTTCAAATACAGTGTTCAAGGTGACACAGTCATTCTGTGGCCAACCTTCTTCATTAATTGTCTGATTCACAACAGGCTTATCTGTGTTTCTATCCTCAGTCATTGAAAGAGTGTCAGCTTTTGACCCAGCTTGTTTAAAAGGTAACATCCACCAAATATGGAAATACCTCACTTTATGTTGACAAGATGGCAGCTAGCAGATCTGGCACAGAAGACGAAAAGAGGAGGGGGTCAAGTAGAAAGAGAGAACACCAGAACAATGAGAAATTAGTGTGTTGTGGCTACAACCTACGAGTTTAGAGCTCAGAAGCCACACATGGAAATTAAGAGGGTCACAGAAATGGATCTAAGTGGAATGTTTTGTCCCATTATGGGGACAAAAGCTTATACCTGTTTCCCATATTATCTATCAATAGGACACCATGAAGGTCTGTAATGTTTTATATTCTACCCCAAAGGGATATAGTATGTTCACCTATTCCTGTTCCCTGAAACTTTTTAGATCTGTGAGGTTGCCCCTAACTGGGGGTTGCCCCTAACCTTACCCTATTAAATTCAAAGGGTTTTACTTCTCAGTAAGACATGCTTAGGATTGCACTCTTATCTGTTATCCTGTAGTTGTCTTACATTCAATACCAGTCATTTCCACAGTGTAATTTAATAGGGTTTCTGTGTTACTGACCCAAGGGGACCTGCAGGAGATTTCATGGTTACTCTAAGCTGATCTTTGTGGGCATCTGAATTTACTGTATTATGCCATGTAAAATGTTCCAATCATACTGAAGCTAAGTAACTTTATCTAGTTGCATTCCCTACTTACATTTAGTTCACTCAATAGACTATTTTGATTATGAATGACCTGTCGAGGAAAAGGGGCTTTGGTTAGTCAGGGTGATCTTTGCTTGAATCACTATATTTCAGTCTTACCTACCTCTTAAGCAGTGATATATTTGGAATGGCAGGTGCTTATCATGACAGTCCCCATAGCCATTCCCATATAAAAGGAGCTTTTGAAAAAAACCACACTGGTACCTGGATTATTCTATATAAAAAATTGTAGAGCGGGATGTTTATAAAATTAATGGCTCTTGACTGCTCCCTGAAAACCCAAACTATGCGCAAAAACTTTGATCATTCCTGAGGAGATGCGTTTCTTCCTCAACTATTGCAGCTCAACTCAGAGGGGAGTAGGAAGGGTTGGAGGGTGTGTGTGATAGCATAGTCTCAACCCTGCAAGCCCCAACTCCACTACGTGACTGCTGCTATTGTGAAGTGAAAATGCAAGGAAAAAGATGTATGTGTTAAGATGGGGCTTATAAGATATCTAAGTCAAAAGCAGAGAAAAAAATAGACTTCAATTCAAGTTTAGAAAAGTTACTCTTTAGATTTGCTGCCGGGGTGGGTTAGATTTAGGGAATCATAGCCCCTAAAGAGTACCTTTTCTAAACTTCAGTTATTTCCCCTAGCTCTTGGTCTTATCCACCTGATAGATGACTATGATATGAGGAGGTGAATTTATAGCATAGCTTCTTTGTCCAGAAAGCTGCAGCCTTAGCTTTCTCTCTCCTACACTCGGTCTCTTTCCACCCATACCCGCAGAATATCAAGGTATCTAACATTCTTCAGAGACTTCTTTCTGTACCACCATATTTACATCGTCCACCATTCCTAAGCACCAAGGGCCATGTAGGCTCCTCATTTCCCCCCCAGTGTCATGGTGTTTCACTTCAGGGCAGAAGCATGGCAGGTTTTTGACCTTTCACCCCCCTGGGTGTCTTTCAGGTCCGGTTCCTTGAGCAGCAGAACAAGATGCTGGAGACCAAGTGGAACCTGCTGCAGGAGCAGAAGACCACCCGGAGTAACATTGCGCCCCTCTTTGAAATGTACATTAGCAACCTGCGGAGGCAGCTTGACAGCCTGCTGAATGACAAAGGCCGCCTGGAGGGAGAGCTGAGGAACATGCAGGATCTTGTGGAGGATTTCAAGAACAAGTAATGTGTTTTTATAACGGTTTCTGCTGAGGCTGGGAGGTATGGGCAGCCTCCTCCCAAGGCATCTTCAGCTCTCCTTTAAGGAGACAATGCTTTGAGTAAAACAGAGAACCCAACAATTTTTTTTGAGAGTCAGTCCCATTGATTTCAGTGAGGATGACTCTAAAACAAGCATGCACTGAATTGCCAAAAACCTATGTTTGTCTACTCTGAAGTAAATGCCATAGAGTGAGGTACAGCTTGCTGCTGTGCAAGTGTGCGCGAGGCTTCGGCCTTGGATTATTTGCATGCTGCCCCTCAGCAAGGGTTTGCTGCCTCTTTCAGTGCATGTGGGAGACATGTTAGCAATGGAACCACACCAAGCTCCCTAAGAAGAGGGTGGAATGAAAGTACAGTAACATAAAGGCCTACTCTTAAAGGTGTTCACTGAGAGCCATGCTGGTAGTTGGGGCCGCCACTTAGCATAGAAAATCTCTTCCCATTTACTCATCAGTTGGGATAGGGATTTTTTATTTGAGGGCAATGGGATTCTCCACTGATTAATGTAGTTCCCACCCAGCCAGACAGCCTTTCTGATTGTGAACCTGCTAGCTATGAATCCTGCTCCTTCCCTTCTGGGAATTCCTCCCAAATTCTGTCTCTGACTTTGCCACGCTGAAATTAAATTCCTATGCCTGCCAATAGAAATGAAAGAAATTTACTGTAGCACTAAACCATTCAGGGCAGGTGGTTTATTGCATTCCATTAAAAAAAAAAAAACACAAGATAGGCCTTGGATGTCTGAGAAAAACAGTCAGGTTGATGATACCTGCAGTAAAAGTGAATGGATAATAAAATGTTTTCAAATGGTCAGAATGGAGAAGACCAGTGGAATGTAATGGCCCCAGGCCAGTCCCACCTTCTCCCGAGTCCATGGGTCATTTAAGTATCCCTGGGCTGAGAAGGCTAAAGTGAATTCTGTGATTCCCCAAAATTAGATTGTACGCCTATGTGCATGTGAATATAGCAGAATTTGCCGTCTCTTGGCAAGCAGGAATAGTATTTTTTTCCCTTCAATCTTTCACCAACACAAAATAAAAAAGTTTTTGTTTGTGTAGGGCCAGCCATTCCTATCCAGGTAGCAGGAGAGCTTGGCAAATTTACGTTTCAGATTATGACCCCTAAATTCTGGGATTATGACTCCCAGATTCTGGGAGTTGTAGTCCATAGAAGTAACTTTTTCAACCTATGGCTAGCAGTTGGAAAAGTGCCAAAATCGTTGCAGGAATTCCTCAGAGTCATAGCTAGAACTGCTTAGGGCAATCTTACATTATATCCAGAGGAATCCAAGCATGAATTGCTGACCATCGATTTCACTCCTAAAAAAAATCTGCAAATTGGTATCTCATCTGGTTGAATGTATTAAAGAATTTGGTATAGGGATGTATACCCAGGCAAAAGATAATGGCATATGTGAGGGAAATGCCTGCACTATGCAATAAAAGAAAGTTAGTTATTTAAATAGAAAACAGCAACAGTCTTTTTTAAAAAAAATCTGGTTTACGTAGCTTAGATAAGTAGCCATGGAGATTCTTATGAGTAGTTTGGCCAGTTGTTACAAATAGTTTTGCAAGTGACCTCAAGCAAAGCAGTAGGACTGTGCTTTTCCTTTTCCTTTGAAGCACTGTGGTGTTAAGTCAGGCAGACCATGAAATGTAGCAATTAAGAATGAAAGGTAGGAAAAATGTCTGTCAATCACCTGGAAAAACCAGAGGAATGGAAAGCCGTCAGGGGATTGTTTGATAAGAAGACTTTTACAGTGCCCCAATGTGATTTGACTGCACAGAGAAGGCATTTGGGTGAAGTGTTTCTGCCAGAGTTAATGAAATATGGATGGTCATCATGCACAAGTTGCTGGTGAGCTTTACCTGGCCTACGGGCTTCCATTTTAGTTACCTTTATTTGGGAAGGAAAGAATAACTAAAAGATTCATACAATGATAGAATCATAAAATCGTTAAGTTGGAAGAGGTCTACAAGGCCATCAAATCCAATCCCCTTTGTCGAAAGGGAAATTGGAATAATTTGACCTGAATATTCATAGAATGATAGAATCATAAAATGGTTAAGTTGGAAGAGGTCTACAAGGTCATCAGTTCCAATCCCCTTTGTCGAGAGGGGAATTGGAAGAATTTGATACTGTCAGTGATACTGTAGTTACAAGCCTGTTAAGATAAGGTGAAGGACTCCATTCTACCACCATGAACAGAGTCACATTTACATAAATATTCATAGAATGATAGAATCATAAAATGGTTAAGTTGGAAGAGGTCTACAAGGTCATCAGTTCCAATCCCCTTTGTCGAGAGGGGAATTGGAAGAATTTGATACTGTCAGTGATACTGTAGTTACAAGCCTGTTAAGATAAGGTGAAGGACTCCATTCTACCACCATGAACAGAGTCACATTTACATAGTTAAAAAGATCCCCTTTGTCGAAAGGGAAATTGGAATAATTTGACCTGTTAAGCTGGGAGTTAGTAATAGTTACAAGCCTGTTAAGATAAGGAGAAGGACTCCATTCGACCACCATGAACAGAGTCACATTTACATAGTTAAAAAGAACCAAACATTCTCATTTCCTTTTGTCACTAGTCATGTGATGCAAGTTTTTGTAAAATCTGGCCTACCAAGCAGCAGCCTTTGATAGTGTGCAGTCCTCACACTTGGTGTGTATTGTGGAGGTGGAAAGGGCAGGGTGCCTTCTGGGCTGCCTGTATCCATTCTGTGAGGCTTCAGGGAGTGGTTGGTGTGCAGGCTCTGTCCCTTTTACAACCTGTGGTCTGGACGGAGAAGATGTGACACCCCTAAGAATGAAGGAAGGATTGTGCTGGAGGAGACCAAAATCCAGTTCCACAGTGACCAAACAGGTGCATCTGGTAGCCCACAGCTGAAGTATATTTGTAATCTTTGGGGAGGAACATCTGTGAACCAGACAAGATGAGTACACCCCCAAAATGGAGACCAAAATCCCAACTCTCAGAAGCCTTTACCACCCGCTGTGCTGAGAAGGGCCTTTGGGACTTGCAGTCCAGGAACATTTGGGGACCCAAGTTTGTGAACCTCTGAATAGATCCAGTTTGGCTCACATCTGAAGCACAATGCTGGACTAGGTACTTATTTTATCTCTCCCAATTTATGGTACGGTATATATTTTCAGCCATCATTCTTCCAAGGAATTTAGGGTGTCATACCCAGCACCCTTTATTTCTTCTTCTCAACGATCCTGTGAGGCAGGATAAGTTGGGAAAGTGTCCTTGGCCCAAGAAGCTCCTTCATGACTGTGGGAGCATTTTGCTCCAAGCCTCCACAAAGCCTCTCTACTAGCTCTCTGCTTATTACTATACCACACTGATTGTACAAACCTTGAACTTCAGTCCTGCCCAATTTACGCATGGTGTGATTTAAAGCAGTAGGAATGGTTACGGTTTTACTACACAGCCAGTAGCAAAAGGTGCGCCTTCATAACCCTTCACTGGAGGTTACCTGCTTTGTGCAATCAATTCAAAGAGTACACTAGCGAGTGAAAGGCTGTACTTCCTCCCCCCCCCCATTTATTGGCATTAAACACCCAATCTGTACCCCACCCTGCATTTTGCAAAGGCCACTCCTGTGGTTATAAAAAATAATGCCATGGAGATGAGGAGGGGAAAGGTTGGTTGGCCGTTGGTCTCAAACCAGCATTCCCCCGGCCTCCCAGGGAAAGTCCAACAAGGGCCAGCCTCTCATCCATTTGCCTCACCCAGCCACACCCAGAATAGTTAAAAAATATACCAGCTGGCCAGCCAGCTCTGAGGGAAGGGAAAGCAAACAGTACTGATAAACCCCCAGGGTGTGTCCCCATAGAGGAGAAAAGTCAATAAGTAGTAATCCCTTTTCCAGGTGCAGCCAACGTCTGCATAAATGGTATAATACATGGCAGAGGGAGGGTGGAGTAGCTAATTGTTTTAATTGACCCTTTTAAACAGCTCCCAGTGCCTTACAATTCTCTGTGGGTGCTTTCACATGGGAGATGCGGAAAGCATATCTACCTACGTGCCACTTTTAAACTATTCTTTCTCCTCTCTAGAGAACCCTTGCTTTGTCATTAGGGTGGGAGAGTCCTCATCAAACTCTTAGGGCCTGCTCTGCCATGAGGCGAAGGGAGGCCATTGCCCAAGATGGCAGCTGCAGCAGTGGAAGCCTCTACGTCCCTTGGCTTTTCCCTCTCTTGGAGAATGGAGTTGTATAAACACCACACTTAGCCCATCGTAACTAGCCAGTTGCCCGAAGAAGTGTTGGAGAATATTACCCCATTTGCCTGTGTTGAAGTAACTCAGGCTGTGGCCAGAAACCTGTCAAGGTGCATTTCTGCCACAAAGGGTTGCTTGAATGGAAGCAATCTTCCTTTAAGCAAATCTTCCATCTTCTAAGGAATCACTCCGGCTTGGCCCCCAAAAGTAGAAGCCATACAGCTGGACCAAAAAAGTGCAGCTTGAGCATGGGTCAGGGTGAGGAAGGATACCTTTTCCTCATGTGTCTTATGATGACTGGGAAACAGATTGCACCAGACTGTTCCACAAGCAATTCAAATTGTGATTTATTTCTCTGTGTGATCAAGCACACCCTAAGTTTCAGTGCCAATCCACTCAGCATCTAAAGGTGGAGAGGCCCTATCCCGTCCTCCTCTTGAGGCAGAAAAATGTCCTGGGTTGGCCGAGCAAACTACAATTTTAGAGATGTTTAGTATGTGTGGCACGGGGTGGTGAAGGAAGTAGTTAATGCTAACAGGATAGACTTGCAGCACACAATAGCCCATTTGAGAGATTCTCATATAATAAATAAACTGAGGAATAAATAAACCGGGCACAATAAACTGGGGAAGCAATGAAGAGAAATTAAACACACACTGCTATCAAGCAGCCTTTTGAGAATGCTGATCAAAGAACAAATATGATGGTAAACCTGAATTTGAAAGCAAGCTTAGCTGCTTTTATTCTTGTGGTGAGGTGTGTGTATCACATTCACTGTTGTTGTCAAACAGACTGGTTAGTGTCAATTTAGGAGAGATTTAGGAAAGCCTTTCTTCAGAGGCTTTTATGTACCATAATACAAACTTGTTTTATGTTATCAGGTTCTTCAGACTTTCTTAAAAGCACTGTAGCCATCTTTTAAAGGAGAAAGACAGGATAAAAAGCAAGCAAACAAACAAATTTAAACATCCAAAGTGGCCTGCTTTCTCCATAATGTTCATCTTCACACCAAGCTTGTTGGTAGAAGCACCTACTGTTGGGGCTGCTTTGGTTGCTACTTACTCAAAAAGACGATAAAAAGGAAAAGGATATAGGTATAATCTTTGCCTGTCAGTTCATACAATACACTAGTCTGTTGTGAGGAAAGCTATATGACCTGTTGACCAATGTGCCTCACCCAGTTTGGGAGACAGTGGCAAGGCCAGCATCACTTAGTTTATCTCTCAGCCTAGCTTAAGGCACCTGCTGCACCTGTGTGTTCCAATGTTTAGAAAAAGATGATGTTTCAGTGTGAAAAACTGCTGTCAAGCTAAAACAACAATGTGGTTTGAAGCGCGTCTCTCCCTCTTTCAACCTGGCGTAGGTAGCCTTGCTGAGGCTACAATGGAAAATCATACATTTTCTGTCTTAATGTTGCTTTGTAGAAGGGTAAAATATAAGTATATTATTCTATGCTGGGCAGTTTTTGATCAGAGTTTACCAACATTGAGAACATTTGCATGAAGAAGAATGCAAAGCTGATAGATTTCCTCATTGTTATTTTCCCCTCATCATCTATGGGTTTTACGGAAGGTATAAGCCCTATTCATGCATTCAGAGAAGGGTTAATTTGAAAGGGTTCCAGTCCTAACCAGTTCCTTTTGCTGTCACCACGAAAAGAAGGGAAGGGTAGTCTGGAGAACGTTTGCTACACAAAGATCCTCTCTGTGTAATACAGAACCCTGATTTTTCAGGATCTCCAATTGTGTGGAAGGACTCTGTATGTACCAGAAGCTTTCCTGTTCAGAGAATCTCTGAAGAGAGCAATAGGCAGGAAGCAGCAATAGAACTCTCTGTCTCTCTGGTCATACTTTCAAATTTCTCTTTTTAGGATGCCTCTATTCTTCTTCATCGTATTTCCTATACTACTACTACTACTACTACTACTACTACTACTACTACTACTACTACTACTACTACTACTACTACTACTACTATTTCCTATAATAAGAAAAAATTATAATGACAGTGACTATAGTTTGCCAAAAGGAAAAACAGACACGAAGCTATAAAGGGCCCTTTTGAAGGTATTAGGGCTGGATAAAAGTCCATTAAAATGAGGAGATGTGTCATGGGGGAAGGTTGGTTTCCGGGAAGTGGCTCTGCCTTGAGAGGAAGAGAAGACCTTTGAACTCTTCATTTCACCTGCCAAACCTTCTTGCTGGAGGTCGTTGGTGTGCTAAGAGGAATGTGGCAGTCCTAGCAGATGTGGTTTGGGCAGTCCCAAAACAAGAGAAAAAGATTATTCTGTACTTTGTCTTTTTTTTTTCTGGAACAATATTAGTAAATATTGAAACAGAGATATTTTGCAGATTGTAGACCTTTAGCCTTAAGGTTGTTGCCTAACCAGTTAGCCATCCTAAGAATGAAGGCGGGGAAGATGGTGGCAGTGCCTTCCTGTTTTTCAAACCACATTGCATTGTTGGCTGTCTCCTGCATAGTGAAAGATCACCTGTAATCCTCAAATCCTTCTAAGCTGGGGGAGTGGGTGGGAGTTGTTTGCCTAATTATTTGTCTTCTGTTCTTCATGGGAGCGTTATTGTGTTCACTATGGAGGACTGTGGGAACTGTCTGGCATTTTTATTTTGAGGACATGAAGTGAGGAATTGAGACTGTATGGCAGCATGATTACCACAACACTTTTGCCTTGTTGAAAAGTTATCCCACTGTTCAGGGGAAGCTGAGCATTTAGTTTCCATTGATCACTGTTTCTTGTCTTTCCCCCCTTTTAATAATGAAGGTGGAAGAGTTTTGTTTTAACTCCCAGAATCTCCCAGCCAGCTCTGTGGAGCTACTGGATTTTGGAAAATGTAGGACAACCTCTCCTGATTTTTCTAAGCTCTGCCAAATAACCAAGCAGCTTACTGTTCCTTTCGGGGACTGGTCTAGCTCCAGAAAATAGAACATGGCAACAACATCCTTTTTGCCAATCCATAATATCTGTTTGGAAAGTTGATAAATATTTAGGACCCTTATTTGCAGGTTGTTTCTTGAAGACCATGAAAATATCTGCTATACTGTATTCCTATTTGTCAAGACTGCATAGCATGTGTGGAATAAGAGGACTTTTAACAAGAGTAAACGGAGGCCTATATGGTCCTTGTCTTTGGACAATGCTGGCAATGTCAACCCAATGCCAAAAATTGGGTCAGGGTTTAAAACATAGGGGACGTGGTGGCGCTGTGGGTTAAACCGCAGAAGCCTCTGAGCTGCTAGGTCAGAAGACTAGCAGTCGTAAGATCGAATCCACGCGACGAAGCGAGCTCCTGTCGCTTGTCCCAGCTCCTGCCAACCTAGCAGTTTGAAAGCATGTAAAAATGCGAGTAGATAAATAGATACCACCACAGTGGGAAGGTAATGGCGTTCCTTGTCTAATCGCGCTGGCCATGTGACCACAGAAACTGTCTTCGGACAAATGCTGGCTCTATGGCTTGGAAACAGGGATGAGCACCACGCCCTAGAGTCGGACACGACTGGACTAAATGTCAAGGGGAACCTTTTACCTTAAAACATAGGGACTCCATATGTTAAACAGTTGAGGTGCAACCAGTGTCTATGTCATACATATAAACACTTATTTCATTTGCACTGCAACCCTAGACATAAGCCTCCTCCGACCAGCCACCCTCTAGAGATATGTTGGATTAGATATCCCATCATCCCCATCCAGCATGTCCCCATTGCCATGAATAGGCATGCACAACTGGTTGTTAAAACAGCTTAGGTTTGAAGAAATTTAGAATTAAGAATTATTCTTCAAGGTGTGTTTATTCTTCCATAATTGGGAAAGCCAACATGGTTATGCATCCAGAAAGATTGGGGGAAAAATCTCCATTAATAATGTTGATCTACTTGAGAACAATTTTTTCCTTTAAAGGTATATGCTGTGAATGTATATCTAGCCTTTACTGTTAATGTATGCATTAATGTTCATATTTTATTCCTCTGCCCCAACAGATATGAAGATGAAATCAACAAGCGCACAACAGCAGAGAATGATTTTGTTGTGCTTAAGAAGGTGAGGAGCACTAATTGTTTTCTTAGAGTTTATTTGTTTATATGGCAATATTGAGTGTTCTATGTCTCTAGCTATGTCTACTTGGTTGATAGCCACTCAAGAGCTTCATGTAGCAATTTAAAAAATGGCAATACCATGTGCTCACTAGACATGAATGAACAAGCACTGCTAGACTGGTTAAGAAGTTGAACAGGTCAATTAGACCCTGATCTTGACATTTTCCTCACTGAGTTATGCATCTGGCTGCAGATCCCAAGATGAGGAGTTCAGTTCCCCACTGTGTCTCCCACAAGAGCCAGCCTGAATGGCCCTGGATAAACTGTACAGTTCCAGGGTGCCACTAGAAGAAGTGAATGGTAAAAGACTAAGTCTCCAATTTAAAGGTGGTAGTAGATGGGGGGGGGGGGGAGGGAGGCCAGAAAAT